CACTTTAAAAAAAAAAAAAATCTTCCCTATATATTTATTCCAAGTAGCGTCACTCATAAAAAAAAAAGTTAAAACATCAGGAACCTTGACATATTCAATATGTATTCATGCTCCAACAAAGGTAACGGGTAAATCCACTCATTTCTCCTCCATTTCTTCAAAAACCAGTATTTTTCATAAAGAAAATGCATGACCCAACTCTTTGTACGAATCTCGGTGCGAATATCCAGCCATTGTGTGTTGAAATTCTGCATGTTAGAGAAACTCCATCCACTCTACTGTGGCGTATGACGCAATACCTCAATACCTTCTACCTCAAAAGCCAATTATCCTTGAGAGTTTATTTTCGGGAATATAGCGAGAACACCTGAAGGATAGCCCGCTAGATCTGTCAATACCATGAACGGAGGCAATTTATTGACTGCCCACAATGAAGCAGAAACGCTTTAGAGTCTGTTACAAAACTTGCAACAACTGCTAGCTGCAGTTCTAATCTCACAATTCTCCTCGTCACAGTAACCTTCATCATTGCGAACCCATGGTCTTCGCCTAACGGGGTATCAATATAGCTGGGGTCATTTCCCCATAAGGCCCATACTACCTGGACAGACAAAAATCATCAGCACTTAGGCTTGTGAATTTACTTCACCAGATGGATAGAGGCTGAGATCTCTGAGCAAGAATCACACAAAGACCAATGCAAAGCTTCATATGGAAGAATATAATATCATTTTGGCTTTCAACAAATTATCACCCAATGGACTCAATTCCACTAGAAAGATCTTCACACAATTTTAAAAAAACAAGTTTAATGACTTAAGAGGGGATTCTAGGATGAGCTAAGAATGTATGTAGAGTGTAAGGCTATCGATGAAATCACCATCAAATAAAGATTTCAAATATTCCTCAATGGATAATAGCTAAAATGTGGTCAAGATGGATATCTAAAGTGGTTTGAAGGAAGTGCGATCATCACTCAAGATATAAGTTTCCCTTAAATCATCAAATGATGGATTATATTTCACAGGCAGGTGAATTCAATGAAATAAATGATGCATGGAGAAAAAAAATAAATGAAAAAAAATATTCTGAACTTTGATTAAACTTTCTTGCAATTTATTTTGATGTATTGCACTTTCATAAAGAGGCTTAGATAAATCATTGGTGAATTTAAGAGCATATTCAAATTTACAACGCTAAAAGTTATAAGTGAATCTACAAAAAATGTTGCTTGTGTGATTCCACTAACACTTTCTAGGACTATGATGTGTGTGTGGATAAACAGCTAATTCCCCTAACTATAATTATAGCACTTAAATGTTCAGCCAAAGCCTACTACAGCTTAATGCAAAAATTTTAAGATGAACTGCTATTTATAAACATATTTCAAAAAGGGTTTAAGCATTGTCAATACTTCAATAACATATTTGCCTATAAATAATTTAAAATAACTAAATCTATATTGCATTTATTAAATCCAAGAAAGATTGACTCCATACACAACTTAAGCTGTCTTGGATTAACTAAGTGTTTGATAGGTTTTCATGATGCGTCCTGAAATGGTTATTAAACGGAGTGTTTTAGGCCAGGAAGGGCATCCAGATCAATATTCTTTATGAAAAAAAGAGAGAAATAGAAAGCAATCAAGATTATAATACTTATATTCTAGTTGACAATTCAAGTCTTCATATCAGTAACATTATATGTCAACAAGTAGTTTGTATCGTACTCTAATCATCCAAGCTTTAAGATTTTCCAAAATTTTAAAAAACGAGTTAGAGCACAAACATAACAAGTAAGCCCCCTAAGTAGGTTTGGATTTTACAAGAAAATTCTGTTATCCTTAAGCATCAAGTTGGAAAATTGAAAAAAACCTATGATATAATCGTCTACAATGCAGGTTAAGGTCACTAGTTTTTGATTATATGAAAGAAGAATATCACTGTATGGAATCAAAAAATAATAATAATTTGATAACAAGGCCCGGGGGTAGAAAGTACTCCGCCCAACCAGATACGCATGCAGAGCTACAATTCCCAAAGGAATTAATGATAAAAGAGTAAGATAATCGATTACCCAGGTTCTTACCATATGTCCTTTGTTGAATGGATTAACCGCGGAGGAACCTTCAACGCTGCTTGGCGAACTCCTCCGTCTGCCTCTGGATCTCACTACCCTCTCGGCCATTTCACGGAAGTCGATGAAGATCCCTCTTGGAGGAAAGAGCCCCACCAACCGAAACATGCTTCGGCCTCTTTTCTCAACAAGGATTCAAGCGACCTTCTCCTGCAACGAGTAAATTAAAGACGTCAGCATAAAGCCAATACTCAAACCTCAAATAAGAGAATGCACAAGCATCTACCGTAGTGTCTCTCACTGCGACCGGCGCCTTCCTTTTGCCTCTCTTGGGAGCCTGCAACATACAAAACACGAATCTCAGAAACCAAAACAACAGAAGAAAAATGAATCAACTTCTCAGTAATAAACTGCAGCAATACAGATCTAAATTGGATCAAACCCTAAAAACACCATTGAACAAGGTTGGAGTTCGGTGAGAGAGAAAGGAAGAGCAATACCATTTTGTTTCGTGGGTCGACCGTACAATTAGGGTTTCGCAGACGGCGGCAGAGGCTGGCAGAGCTCGAAACAAAGCGGATTATCCGATTCGGGAAATAATATGGTCGTTTGTTCAATTTAGAGCACAACCTGGCCCGTTGGATGCCCTGCTGATCGCACGCTCCTAACCGTTCGATGAGCAAAAAAAATACTAAATAATGGGTTTTTAGTATTATATATCTGTGTTTGGTATTTTCTGTGGATTATTTAAATATAGCTAATTTAAGAAAGTTTTTAAGATTTTTTTTATTTTTTTTTTTTTCTATGACTTCGTTTGATTAACCGTGCCTTTTATAAAAAATAGTTTTTAAATTTTATTTAAGAGAATTGAGGTTTCTAACTGAAAAATACAATACTAAAAAGTTTTTGAAAAGTATACAAATGAAGTTCCGTAAAAACATTTTTATAAAAGGTATCACATACAAACAAAATAAAAAAATGAACTTTGCTTTTTGAAATCAGAAGGCAAACTTTTATTAGGGTTTTAATAAACTTCCTAATTTTGTGACTTAAAAAGTCTCAAATTTTAATAATCAATTGGGAAATTTGTTCCTCTATTCCCATGCATGGTTGATTGGATGCTAAATTTGGGAGCTTTGATACTCTGGTTTTTTTTTTTTTTTTTTCCATTTTTTTTCATTTTAGCTGTCTATCATTCCCCCTCTCTTTTAATCATTTCTAATGGTAACAAGAAGTCTTCCTCTTTCTCTGAATGTTATAGGGATGCTATCCAATGCTTTCTATTGGTCTCAGCTCATGGGGAAGAGGATAAGGCTCTTCGGAAATGAAAAAAAATAGCCTTTTCATAAGTTTTTTTTGCAGACTTTAGCTCAATTAAAAATTTGCAACGACACATCACAAACGCAATACTCAATCAAGACCTTTAGTTGGTAGGCCAAAGCTCAAACAACAACTGATGAGCTAAGGTTTTATTTCATAGTTGATGCAAATTTTTTTTTTGCTTCCTATCGGCTGGTCTGAATAATGTATGATTTAAAAGAAGTATTATATTTGATATGCCATTTAATAAAGTAAAATATGATGGCTTCAAAATAGCTTGTAATATGAGAACTAGGCAACCTAATCCTCTCTACATATAGTTTCTTCTTGATGCTTCCTCTCTCTCTCTAAGTCCTTCAGCTTGTGAAAACTACCATATTATTTTATTAATAAAAAGCTTAAATTGGTGGTTGTAGTGTTATTATTGGCAATATATTAAAAGAAAGAATAATATAATTTTTATTAATGATAAATCCCAAATTAATTAAAACTAATTTACTTTGTTAGATGAAGTTTTTGCTTTTGCCATCTATCTTTACTTATGAGCGGCTTTGGCTTCTGTTTGTTTTTTAAGATATCTTCATACAAGGGATTTATTTATTGTATTTTGGTAATTGATCTTTCCTTATTTGTATTGAGACTTCACAATATAATGGTTTGGCTAATATATATTACTCTACCAAACTTAAACAAGTAGCATAATCTTAATTACAATATTGAAATTATATTCTCTCATTGGATCAAATGTTTTTCATTTTTCCCTATAATTTACAATCATCAAAAATAAGAACAAAATAAATTTCCAAATTTATGTTTTTTTTTTCATGACAATCCAATTTTTTACTTATTTTCTC